TTAAACCCAGCATCCTTCATATTTTCACTGAAGGAGAAATCCACTCTAAAAACTTCATCTCATTTATGGGCGCTATTTTATTGATTTGTGTATTTTTCCTGTTCCTGCAGATACAGACTGAGCGGACCATAATGCACTGCAGTCACAAGATGTGTTGATTTTGCTCAAGAGGCACAACGGTTTTTCCTTTCATGGAAAATGCTTCCCCAGTTATCGCTTGCTTTATCAGCCTCAACATAAAACCTTCAGCTGAGATTCTTAATCATCTTCAATGTCAGTCCTTAAGGGCCTTCTGGGGAATGTAGGGAGCCACTAATTAAAGGAGAAGTACAGCAGATGAGGTAGACACAATGTAAACAAAAAGATTAAGAACAACAAAATCTAAAAAGGTATGTATATATGCCTGGAAAAAACATTTAACATAACAGATTGATTATTCATAGCAGCTCAAAGAGCTTCACACAATGTCTTTAACTGATTTTCACAAGTCTAGAAAATACCAACATTTTGTCAATCATGTTCAGAACTGGACATATTTTGGCTTGCATTAACTGTTTGGAGTTGTTTGTCCACTTGATGGCGGTGCAACAAGCTGTAAACACTGACATTTAATCATGTAATTAAGTTGTTATGGCTAACTTGTTTGCATACAATTAACTATTTCCACATCCAGCAGACACTCAGCAACATCAGCATTGATTTGAAGTGTTGTCTCTGGCCAAATGATGAATGTTAGTTCCCATTTCCACCTGGTAATAATGTGATCTGTGTTTGGATATCGACATCAGATAAACATTTTTTACCAGGTAAGATTTGCTACTACTTGTATCATTTGCTGGCCTTGCTTACAGGTGGAAGAAAGCAGAGTTTCAATTTGATGGGTGGATTTATTTCTCATTGAAGTCATGCTGTAAAGGTTACATTACATGTGGCTTAGATCCCATCGCAATGCTACTACAAATCCGATCGTATTCTGATCACAACATATTCTATTTGTATTTACACCTTGTGTAAACCCGTGTAAATGCGGGACAACATTCACTTTCCTTAAAGCTCTGTTTTGGTCTCCACCAACTTCTGAGGTAAAGGTCTGACTCTTTCACTCCTAAATGCTCTACTACAGCGGTTTTCAAAGTGTGAGGCACGCCTCCCCAGGGGGGCGCCAGAGGACTTCAGGGGAGGCGCGAAAAGAAAGGAAAAAAAGTGTATCATCTGGTTAGCTAACTACAGCAAATGAATCGATTTTTAGTACCTCAGGTGAAAGTGAGAGTGGGCACAGAGGCGAGCAGAAAACGGAGGAAGTATGACTCTGATTATTTAAGGTTTGGTTTTTCATGCATTGGTCCTGACGATGCTCCGCTGCCACAGTGTGTTATTTGCAAAGAGGTGCTAGCTAACAACAGTATGCGACCATGTAAACTCCGGCGCCACATTGAAACTAAGCACCACAATTTAACAACCAAGCCGCGGGAGTTTTTTGATAGGAAGCTTAAAGAATTGCGGTCACAGAAGAAAGCCATCCAGACATTTGGTACTGTAAATACCAAGGCAACTGAGGCATCATACCGCGTAGCGTTACGCATTGCGAAGGCGGGGAAACCCCACAACATTGGTGAGACATTGCTCCTCCCTGCTGCCAAAGATATGTGTTCGGTAATGATGGGCGAAGCTGCTGCTGCCAAGCTGGATGCCATCCCGATGTCTGACAACACCATCCAGCGCCGCATCTCCGACATGGCAGCTGATGTGAAGGAGCAGGTGCTGGACGCTATCCATGAGAGCCCTTTCTTCTCCATTCAGCTGGACGAGTCCACCGATGTGGCTAACTGTGCACAGCTAATAGTGTATGTGCGCTTTATTAAAGAGCTCAGTGTCCAGGAGGAGTTTCTGTTTTGCCATCCTCTGCCGGCGTGCACTACAGCAGCAGAAATCTTCAAGGCTTTGAATGACTTCATTCAGGAACATCATATTGACTGGAGCCGCTGTTGTGGAATATGTACTGATGGTGCGAGGGCAATGACAGGCCGCCACAGCGGTCTAGTAAAACAGGTGCAAGCGGTTGCGCCCGCCGCTGTTTGGTCACACTGTATTATCCATCGCCAGGCCTTGGCAACCAAGAGGATGCCCAAAGAGCTGCGCACGGTCCTGGATGAGGCAGTAAAAATTGTAAACCTAATTAAATCACGCGCCATGAATGCCCGTCTCTTCTCTATTCTCTGCAATGAGATGGGGGCTCACTTCCATCAGCTGCTCCTGCACTCCGAGGTCCGGTGGCTGTCGCGGGGCAAGGTCCTCACCCGCTTGTGTGATCTGCGCGAGGAAGTCCTCCTCTTCCTCGCCGAAATCGACTCCCCACTGGTGAAGCATATGGAGGACGCAAAGTGGATTGCAATGCTGGCATATCTGTCTGATATCTTCGACCAGATAAACACACTGAACACTTCTCTGCAAGGCAAAGAGTGCCATGTCTTTTTGGCACACGATCAAGTCTCTGCATTCAGGAAAAAGTTGGACCTCTGGTGCGCTTGTGTTGAACAGGGCTCGGTGGAAATGTTCCCAACCTTGGAGGATGTTGTGGAGCAAACAGGACTGCAACTGAACTGTGTACAACAGGTGGTCATTGCACATTTGAAGGGGTTGCGTGAGCAGTTTGGAGACTATTTTGGAGAGGAGACCTTGGCAAATCAATGGGTGAGAAATCCGTTCTCTTTCCCAGTGACACCCCGTGATGGACTGACCCTGCAAGAGGAGGAGGCCCTTGTCGAGCTGAACTCTAATATGGACTTGAAACAAAAGATGGGTGAAGTGTCACTTGCACACTTCTGGCTGCCTGTGGAGACTGAGTTCCCCCACCTCACCAAAAAGGCTATAAAAGTGTTCATCCCCTTCACCTCCACTTACCTGTGTGAGTGTGGATTTTCCGCATTGACAACGATTAAAAGCAAGTACCGGTCACGGCTGCGGGTAGAGGATGATCTGCGTTTATTCCTTTCTACAGCGCATCCCCGCATCAACCGCCTGTGCGCATCAAAGACACAGACTCACTGTTCCCACTAAAATCGAGGTGAGCAAATGTGTTGTGTGCAGTGTTTCAATGTTAATGTGGGATAACGTCGGATGAGTGAAAATGTGTTTAAAAAAATCTGTTGAAAAGTTAAATTGTAAATTGTAATTTTTTTTTTTAAACAAAAAGATGTTTAAATGTATTCAAAATATGTTTAAAAACACACAAAGGTGTTAAAATGTGTAAAAAAAAAGATGTTAAAAACAAAGGTATTAAAATGTGTAAAAAAAGATGTTAAAAACAAAGATGTTAAAATGTGTTTTAAAAAGATGTTAAAAACAGGTGTTAAAATGTGTTTTAAAAAGGGGTTAAAAACAAAGATGTTAAAATGTGTTTTAAAAAGATGTTAAAAACAAAGGTGTTAAAATGTGTAAAAAAAAAAGATGTTAAAAACAAAGGTGTTAAAATGTGTAAAAAAAGATGTTAAAAACAGGTGTTAAAATGTGTAAAAAAAGATGTTAAAAACAAAGGTGTTAAAATGTGTTTTAAAAAGATGTGAAAAACAAAGATGTTAAAATGTGTAAAAAAAGGATGTTAAAAACAAAGATGTTAAAATGTGTAAAAAAAGATGTTAAAAACATACAAAGATTGTGTTTAAAAAATATTTGAGCACATTCACAGATAAAGATGTTTAAAATGTTTTAAAAATATGTTCAAGAACATACAAACATGTTTAAAAAAAATAAAGATGTGTATGACATTTATTCTTGAAACCTTTTTTTTAAGCCTGCGTGGAACATACAAAGCAACATCAATAACAGTAATAAAAGTAATAATAATGGGGGGTGGGGGGCGGCTGCTTTTGAGTTCTCTTAGGGGAGGCCCACTATCCCACACTTTGAAAACCCCTGCTCTACTATGTTCACAAGCTAGTCAGTAACTTTGTCTATTGTTTGGTGCTGAGTAGGTAGTGTACAGTGTTTTTATCACATCATTGTTCAGCTGCCTGCTGTGGAAGTGACACCAACAACAGCAGTGAGACTGAGACAAAACAGTAATGTTGTGAGCTGTAAAAACAAAGCGGTCATCAAAAAAATGCTCAAAAGCAAAAGGGAACTGCAGAGGTGGGTGATTATTCTCAGTGCTACCTTTTTACATAACACATAATAGTCTGAGCCACTGGTAATATTGTAGCAACTTTAAAGGTACATTTTTATAAAACATGCTCAAGAACAATCAATCACAGAAAATAAGAAGACAAAAAGAAAAATACAGGCAGAAAATACACCGCCACACACCTCTACTTGGTCATAAGTGATAACTGAGAGGGATTACATCTGTAAAAGTCTGTACAATATTTTTTAAGGAAAATTCTGCCTAGTATATCTTTAACCATATCTATGTTACCACAAAACAGAGTAAATAGGGTAAAGGTCACTGTTTAAAAGACTGAACTGTATGTAATTGCTGTCAGGGATACTCACATGAAGGCTGCCTTGCCCTCCTCCAAGTTGTGCCCTTTGGTCCCTGTGCCTGATTTACCGCAGAGGCACATGATGAGGCCACATTTGTTGACAAAGTAACAGGTGACATCCACAGCTAGCAGCAGGAGTACAAATACAACAACAAGGATCCCTGCCCAGAGCATGATGCCCATGGAGAGCGCTGCCTCATCACCCAAATCTGCCAGACAAGAAACAAGAGAGGGAGAGTGCTGAACAACCGTAGCGTGACACAGTTTCATTGAAACAGCCAGGAACAACTGAATAAAGTGCAGCTATGCTACTTTAACCACAAATAGTTCCATAAATCAGAAACAACTCACCTGCTATGAGCACTGATACGTTCTAGATGTCTTGGCATGAATTTAGATGCAGTTTGATGTCTGTGTAGACTGCGCTGTCTGATTTGTGTTAAATTATTGATGTAACTTGTGGAGTGTTGAGGAGTTTATTATGCAAACGGCTATTTTTAAAAACACATAAAAAAATGCATATTATATTCAACCCATTTATTTGGTATTAGAAAGAAGAGCAAACCAAAGCATACACTGCGTTGCTAGTTACCCAGAAATGCAGGATATTTTATGGACCAAAATAAACGTGAGACTTTTGAAAACAGCACAAAAGGCTTTGATGTAGCTTCACAGTTTGTGTAGAGTGAACTCTAAAATTACCTCAGTGTTTCTAGATACATTTTACTCTTTAGATACCAATAATTAATCAAAATCTGATAGAGAATAAAATGCAGCTGAGTACTCTTCAATAGAAATGTATAAAAACAGGTAATTTTGAATATTTGATACACATTACATGCATTAAAAACACCAGCGGCCAGATGTATAAACAATGCGTAAGCACAAAAACTCTGCATCCTCCCTTTGCTACGCATAAATCGTTATGTATAAACGAAGAATGTGCAGTGAGAATGTGCGCAGCTCACACATTCCTGAGACCAGGTGTAAGCACGCGTTGAGCTGAGATAGCTGCAGGTGATATGATAAGGAGAAGGCTGAATTTAAGTTGACAGACAGGTATTATTGTTTTAAGGTTGTCTGCCAGTTTCACTGATTGTGTCTTTATTTTTGCAGGCGGCACAGCATTCTGTGAAATGTCAATCAAAGGCGCATTTATTAAGTTCATTTTAAAGGAGCAGTGTGTAGGATGATTGCTACCAGCTGAAACTTCTCCAATGTGCCAAGCGTGAACTCCTTGGTGTAGGAACAAAATCAGTCATTGCCATATATAGACATGTAATATTCTCCTTCCTTTCTGTGTCTAAGCCTTCATTATACCTAAAGTGAACTGTGTCCTTGAAGAGATTTAATTTGTGAGTGAGAAACTTGCTTCGCAGCTGTTCCCATGATGGGTATCAGCAGAGCGGAGGCCACCCGTTTGCCTCCCTGCTCTTTTACGTTTAAATAAGATAAAAAGACTTCATCTGTGATTCATTGTCAGACCTGGGGAGGATACTCCAGGTGTCGGAGCTCTGACCTTTCAGCTGAAATAAGATTGACTCTGGTATAACCCTTATTATTCTGTTCTATCATTTTATTTTACATGAAAGACAACTTGATCGTTTCACTGTTTATTTGTTCCCTTCTGCCACCACAACCTGGGGGCTCGTCAGGGATTGGACGACTGATCAGGACTCCGCTGGAAACAGAGGACGATCTACATAGATAGATTCCTCCCTGTGGGTAAGAGGCTGTCCACGGCGGAGCCCTGGTCAATGTACCAATCCTGCAATATCAGGGATAAAGAACTTACATGGTGAGAAGTGAATAAATAAATCTTAGTTTTTAGAGTTCACAGAGTTACTTAAGATTGTAAAGCAGTATAATCTTACACAAGTACGTGTCGACAGACATGTCTTTATTAATTTTGTAGTATTTGAGGATTTCTGGTGTATCCACCAAACAAGTGGACCAGTATATTCTGCATATACAAGGGACAAATTAATCAGAGATGGGTCCTCCAATGACTGAAAAAGACAAAGTCTCTATGGCGCAGTCTGATAAATGGGTTGAAATGGGCTTCCCACCATCAGGAAGCTTTAGCCTACATCGATTGCACCAGCTCAGGACATGTTTGGAGGCAAAGGAAAAGGCAGACGCAGAGGAGCGAGCAGCCAGGTCCAGAAAACGGCATGGAAAAAATTAAACCATTCAAGGCAAAGGTGTAAGAAGGCGTACACTGCGTGGAGAGGAGCAGCAGAATTAAGAGAAAGAAAAAGAAAATAAAGCTAAAGAGAGAGAGCATAAAAACCAAACTGATAATTCATAAGAACAATCTAACACATTGTATCTGTCTTTGACAGGTACGCAAATCATGAAACCCGTTCCAGCTGGACCCCATCTGGACTCCGCTCCTCCTCCATATGCTCCAGTCTAGTCCCCGATCATGAAGGAGTAGCAGTGCAGACAAAACACTTGACTACTGATAGAACCTCACATACAGCACCACAATCACTGCCTGATGCCAGACCAAAAACAAAACCTGAGCAGCCACCAAAGACAGAACCTCTACGAGAATCAGACAGACTAAAAGAGAAAGAACTTCAGAACATGCAACTTTTTGGCTCCTACTCCCGTAACCCAGTCGTGGAAATGTTTATGATGGAAGCACCAGGTCAAGCAGGCCCAGTGTATTCAGACCATGTTCTAAACAGGACATCATAGAAGCCATGGCCCATGTGTCAGGGACCATGTATCAAGCATTGACTGGGCGTAGAGGTGGCTGGGGTAGAGGTCGAGACCGAGGACGTGGCAAAGGTTCTCCTGGTGGTCAAGAGAAGCCCTCTGATCTGTATGTTTGCCACAACTTTGGACTGATAGAACACTAGTGCAAAGACTCTCCAAATAACAAAAATGACGAGAAAAATGCACATCCTGTGTCAGATGGAGAGCGGGAGGCGGCTGGATGGACCCTAGTGACGGACCAACCTGTGACACACACACAAATTACCGGAGCTAATGTTATGTGTAGCAGGAAATTATATTTTATTTTTAGTTGATTCAGGAGCTTTGTTATCTGTCCTAAAAGCATTAGCATTACCCAAAATGCCTAAAGAGAGTGACAGATATTTTAAAACGATTGGTGCCGGGGGTGTTCCTATGATGGAACCCTACACCACACCCTTATCATGCACACTCGATGACACCTTGTTATCTGAACACTGTCCCATTCAATAAGGTGTAAAGAGAATCGGGAAGTAGAAGGACTGTTTTTACAACATGTTTTCTGGACAAAGGAGGCTGCTGCTGTTTCTGTATCTCTGTCCCAGGCTCAGAGCAAGCTGTATGAAGGTCCGTGTCCATGTGTCGCTGGCCAAGCCTACTGAATGGCAATGGAACGATATGGAAAGGCGGGTCCGCACTCAGATGCAGCTGATTGACTTCAGTCCCGCGATTGGGATCCCAGAACACTGTACAACCAAAGGGTTGATGCATATAAAACAGTATCTATATCTACTGCGTTAGTTAAGAGAACAGCTGAACTCATTCCTAACACACGAACATCACACGTCATGATGAAACAACCAGCAGCTGTCGACATGGCTGATTTATCCCAAGTGCCGTCTGAATTATGGTCCACTCATAAGTATGATGCTGGCCTGATGAAAAGTGTGACACCTCTGGTTATTCACCCAAAATCTCATTTCCGGCCGTGCATGAAGCAAAACCTGTTGAAACGTGAAACATTGGAGGGTATCAAGCCAATTTTTGATTCACTGCTGCAGGCTGGAGTCATCATTCCTTGTGATGACTCTCTTGTACACACACCCATTTTTCTAGTAAAGAAACTTTGTGATACAGGTCAGCCAACAAAGTGGTGTTTTGTCCAAGATTTACAGGCACTTAATGCCACTATTCATCTGAGAGTGCTGCTGGTTTCGAATCTGCATACAATTTTATCACTGATTCCACCCGAAGTCACACACATATCCATCGTGGCATCGTTTTTTTAGTGTTGCCATGCACAAAGATTCCCAGTACTGGTTCGCACCTACGAAACCATACTTATTATATTCCATTTCTGCCAGTATATCCCTTTAAATCCTACACACTGAACCTTTAAATTATTTATGAGCGACCGTTCTTATCATTCTTTTTATTTATATTTGAGCCGTCATCTCCCTGTAAATGAGTTAATTTTATCCTGAATTGTGAAGCACTTTGTAAAGTCTGTTTCAACATGAACGCTAATGGATCGTTGATCATCCTTCAGACGTTTAATAATAATAATGATTAAGATTTGATGATGGTTTGCAGAAACATGAGGAATTACTGGCGCAGATGCTACAAATAGCCACAGCCATGATTAATGACAGCTGTTCTGGCACCGTTGGAGAACCTCACAGATGCAACACAGTCGGCAGTACTGTGCTTTCTTTGCCATATTTGTCATTGACAGATCTAATGAGTGGTGGAGGGATAAAAGTATCAATATGTAAATGGCTGGTGAACGTCATTTCGACATCCACTTATGGCATACTGTGGATTCAAAAGTCTGACGAGTAGAATGCGTATGCACATTTCTGTCTTTGTGCTAACACACTGTTTTAGTCATGGATGTACGCAGAGTCTTATGCATCTGGTCCCTGGATGTGTGTCTTAGTAAACAGCATAGAAATAACACTTCTCTTGTGATAATTCTGTATACAGCTTGTGAAACTCTTCCAATATTATTATTAAAAACATTTTCCGTTAGGTGTTTCTGTTTTCAACAATGTAAACATTAATATTACAAACCTTTACAGTACATCTGTATAATTTTGTGAGCGATTATAGAATATAATACAGTGTTTATGTAAACACTCAGCCTTCATTCTGTTCTAAGTGCTATTCTATTATAATACAACCTCATTTCAATTTTCCACTATTGTTCGTTACTGTAAACGGGCAGTCCTCTCTGTTGTCTAGCGCTGATGACTAGCAGTTCTAATGCTGAGAAAAGTGAATCTGTGGGTGGCGGAGGATTTCCACTGCCTTTGGTACAGCACGTCTGCCTGGTCTGTTCTGAAGCAACACAGCACCCTTTTCTCACTCATAACAGACACGTCTGTCATGGACAAAGTCTGTTTTAAGGAGTGAAAGTGTCCAGATAGACAGCCAGACCAGAGAAAGGCGAGTTCTCCTCTACAGTTATGGTGTGAATTCCCCACGAAAACTATGAGAGCAGGAGTACAGTGATGAGGGACAAGATGAGTGATGCCAAAGTGCATGTCACAGATGAACAGCCCTGGGATTCAACTGAGGTTGGGGGGCAGCACAACCCCGACCACACCAAAATGCACACAGGGCGAGACGAAAATGGTCATGTGGTCCACCACACCAATGTCCAGGACCAGGCAAGAGAGCAGGAACATTGAGAGAGGGCATAAAAGAGAGAAAGGGAAAGAGAATAAAGGAAAGGAAGAGGGTGGGGGAGGGGGGTGAAGGGAAACAGAGGAAAAAAAGAGAAGGGTGGGGAAAACAGGAAGAGAAAGTGAAAATGTGTCAGGTCTGAAAACCAAAAGTGAAAAAAAAGGAAACTGATTTCTTGTATCAAGGGAGGGAGAAAAAAAGCAGCAACACATCAAAGCAAAAGCACAGCACAAAGGGGAAAACTACACCGTGTGGACTAGATGGTGACTCAGTGGTGGGTGAGTGGGAAATGCTTTTAGATTGGAGAATGAATTAGAAAAGAAACGAGAGGAAGACATAATGGTCTGTTGCGATGTTTCAGCAAAGCACTCGGCAGTGTCTAGCACCTAAAGGGAATCTGACAAGCTGTGTGGGTTTTTTTGTGCGGTTGGTAAAAAAACCGTCAGCTGCAGTTAAGACCTCAAGGTATGAGTTAATCAGTGGTTATCAAGGGTCAATTTAAAGGCTGCTTCCACACAGGGACAAACTAACCACTCTAGCTGCTATTTTAGCGGTAAACAAAGCTAAAGGAAAAGTACAATCATTCAGAGGAAATCATTTCATCCTCCGTGGAAAGAGCCTGTCCCAGTTCTGAGAGAGCAAACTCAAGCTCATTTAGCGAGGGCTGTCAAAACTTTAAAGTGAGAAAATTCACCCAGAAAATCAGTTTTGGCTCACCGCTGTCCAGGAAATCTATTTTTTCTGTAGATTTATTTAGTTGTCATTCACCTTTTAGGGCCAGTGAGTTAAAAATAGAAGGTGACGCTCTGGTTTTGAGCTTTGAGTTTGGCTCCTCAGGTTTCTGGCTGTTTAGTTCCAGTTTAGTGTGAGTGACCTGCGGAAGGGTACCTGGGATGGCCTCTGGCTCTGTGGCCGTCCTGAAGGACATGGTAGCTGGCTCTGACTTGCCCTTCTGATTCTCTGCCACCACATTAATATTGTACTCGGTGTCCCAATCCAAACCACTGAGAATCACATACTCGCTGACGCTGGGCAGCCGGATTTCTGGTTTCCACTCGGACACCTGTACCTAAGGACACACAGAAACATATACACATTAAGGGCTGCAACTAACAGTTATTTTCATTATCTATTAATCTCATTTTTATTTTCTTGAATATCTGACTAATTGTTTGGTCAATAAAACATCAGAAAATAATGAAAAATGTCCATCATCTTTTCTTGAGGTGACCTTTTCAAACACACAGATTTGCTTGTTTGGTCCGACCAACAGTTTACTATATGTGCGTTTCCATCAACCTCTTTTTATGTGCATTTTCAATTTGCTCATGAAAAAACCTAAATGGAAATGCCAGAATTAAAAAGAAATCTAGAAATATCTCAAAACAGTTATAAGCTTGGGGGTGATGAAAAAGTTGGTGTTTTGAGAAAAGATAAACGTGACTAAGTGCAATGGAAACAGATTCTAGTATTTTGTCTCTGGAGGGTTTTTAAAACGCTCACGTATGCAGACAGCTATGTAAACAGAACTCCTGCAAGAGCACATAGGTAACTCATTATTTCCTTTGTCCAGTGTGCTCTCTGTCATTATACATCTGTTGTTTTCCTTTGTTTGAGGTTTGACTGGCAATCCTTTAATTTCGTCATCTCGTTGCAGCCTCTTCTGGCACCTAACTGGAATATCGACACCACCTACAGCATATCTTGATGAACCAACTCCAAATATTTAAATAGGAGCAGTGGATGGAAAAGTGCATGAATACGCATTTTCATTTTGCTGACTTTCTAAAAATTCGGTTGAAATTTGTGCTACAACTGGATGGAAACCCAGCTGATGATGTAAGACAAGAAAAGGGCAGATTCTTCCCACATTTCAAAAAATCTAAATGTTTGCCATTTTTGTTTGAAAACTGGCTTAAGTGCATATCATATTACAGTAGTTGCAGGTTAATTTTCAGATTCACTTAGCCATTAATCACCTTATCATTTTAGAACAACATGAATTAACATGGAGGCGTGAACATGACCGAATTAGACCACATTTTTACATTTAAATAATGATTTTGAATCAACTGTTTGGTATATAAAATGCCAGAAAAATGGTAAAAAACAAACAGAAACAAAAAAATTTCCAGAAAAAATGCAAAGATATCCAGCTAGCAACTATAAAAGACTAACAAAACCAGCAAATGTTCATATTCGAGAGAACCTGGAATTTTTGGCACTCTGCTTAAAAAATTATTTAAAGATCAATTATTAGTCATCACAGTAATTGCTTCAGAAGACTCAGACGAATCATTTCCGCTCTGATCGCCATACTTACTGGTTTGAAGCGGACAAGATAATGTAAAATGGGCGAGCCACCATCGTCCTGCTTGATCCAGCTGACTTTGAGGGAGTTGCCTTTGGGTTGAAGAGCCCCTTGGAGTTTAGGAGGATTCGGATTCCCTAAAGGCACATAAGAGCATGATAGAGGTCATTTAATCATGGAAAAGATGCAGAGAACTACAGGGTCATTTTATTAGGAGAAGATTCTGTCACTCCATCAGTACCTTTAAAATTGTGCAGCAAAGAAAACCTTGATTAGAAATAAAAGTCTTTGAAACTGACGTCTTAATCGCTTGCCTCAAGATGGTATGTCTCAAGTCAGGCTAATTACCAAATGACACACAGCCACATGCTTATCTGATTCAGTCCGAGTTGCTGAGTGACATTCCACCAGTGTTACACAAGACTTTAGAGGGAAAGGGTTATTTCTCATTGACTGAAATGTTTATGCAGAATTTGCATCTCACATCATAATACATAGGTTTAACTATAAAGATAACCACGGGGTGAATTTTTTGTGCTTTACAACTTACTTGTAATGCACTGAACTATGTTTTCACCATCTCAAACTGATTTCCACAATCAATGTTTAAACACACTAAAGTCAAAGTCAGAACTGTATCAGATGGAAACTGTAAGACAACAAATTAATATATCTTATTGCTATTTTTTTGTATCCATTACAGACAAAGAATCTGATTTTGCTCGTCTGACCTGTGGAGTTCCTCAGGGGTCAAGTCTGGGACCCATCTTATTCTCCCCTTAGGATATATTATCAGTCAGTTTCACTTTTATCACTGCTGTATCGATGATGTCCAGCTTTAGGTATGTCTAAAACCTTGAAAACTTTAAGCTGAAAGAGATCAGCGCATGGATGTCTCAAAGTTCTCTGCAGTTTAATTAAAACAAAATTGGATTTCTCACTATAGGCCTCTACCTACATTTCCAGAAACGAAAGGGGTCAGTTTTTCATTCCCAACTGAACTCTAAGAAGCATCGTAAGTCAGCTGTTTAATCCTGTCATTTTTTAATTAAGAGACAGTGCCAAAGAAGGCTGCCTCTTCTTTCCAACCGCTTGAAGAAATCATTAATTGTTTTGCCTCGTCTTGTCTGTTGTGATGCATCTTATTCTTGTTTAGGCAAAGAAGCTGTAGCCCATCTACAATTGCTCTAATTTTCTGCTGCTTTATTACTAACTACTGTAGAGCTACGGTGCTGAAATCAAAACCTTTCCAATTACTTTTAAAGTGTTCAGCAAATTGGCTCCATTTGGCTCTCCCTCTGGGGGTCAGATCAGCAAACTCTGAGTGTTTCAAGACCTATTTATTCTCAAAAGAATGTGATGCTTCCTTGCCCAGGCTTATTCTTGTTCTTTAACAACACTTGTTTGTCTTTAATTTAAACAGTTATTTGATTGCTTTTATCTTCCTTTTGTGAAGCCCTTTGTAACTCTGGCTTAGAAAATAGCTAAATAAATAACATATTAGTTACAAACAGAGAGCAAGAAAAATGTGCATAATGGTTAGTGTTCATACTCAGACTTGCTTGCATTCAAAACCCTGGTTAAAGCATTCTTAGTTAGTTGATGTAGGCTTTAATGCAGCCTAAAGTTAAACATGATAAATACAGTGGACACAATGCACAGGGTAGCTATTGCTCTCAGCATGAATAACTGTTGATTGAGAACCAGAGCAAACTGCTGGTAGGGGCAGTTTTTTTGCAGGTACGAGGGGTAGTGAATCTCCAGTGGTTAGAGGAAACAGTGTTTATTACAAACTTGATTTATATGAACACATCCTAAAAGGAGGAGAGGTAACATCGCTTTAGGTAGCGGGCTATCAATACCATCCGTGTGATGGTGATATTAAACACTCTTGACTGTTATATATTACCACAAAGACAGCTCTGGCTCTCTCTCATTTATCGTGCTGAGGTAAATGTCTACATGATTGATTAATGGGATTGAGGTAGACATGTATTACATGACTGCATAGAAGCAATTACTGTGTTGTTTTACTGTGGGATTCTTCAATTATAAAGCGAGGGGTCGTCTTTCAAAAAAATTTGCGACAGTAAGTTACCTTCTGCAGAGTGGAGGGGGATCGTCAGAACCATGCATGCCAAACAACAGTCACAGTCACATGAAATGACACGTGAGTGGTTTGAAAGAGGAAAGAGGGACATGAAAGACAGAACACAGGTAGAGGACAAAGAAAACCTGTAAATGATCTAGAGACAAACTAAAACAAAACGTGGAGCTTTTCGCATAAATAAACACAACAACAGAGCACGGAAATGTATCTGGTTGGGTTTTCAATGTGAAAAGTGCAGCAGACATCGAACAGCTTTATCCTTTTCACTTCAGAGACTTTATAATTTGCAAGGTAAGTGAATAATCAATGCTGAGGGGCCTAATCCAATAGTAAACATCCCCAAAATACACCAAATAGCTGGAGCCAGAGGGGAAACGTGCAGCTTTTGAAATGCAGAGGTTCAGTGTTAATTCACACAAGTGTCATTTAGCCAATCAATTCAATAACAATTATATAAATATTCATATTCGGATAACTCAGCTGTCAACTCAACAATGTGAGCTAGATAAAATCTACAGGTAACAGACAAGAGAGGAGTTTGCATTTATAATCAGGCTACTCAAGGTTACACTTTCTTGGAAAAAAAGACACACTTTGCTAAGCATTCAAGTTATTATAAATGCAGCTAATCAGTAGGGGTGATGGGGTTATCCTGCCGGGATAGAAACAGCTACAGCTGGAAAAACTAATCGTCTATTATCCTCTCTACAGAACAAACCTGTGTCTTCGGTGAAAAAATGAAAAATGCCGTCTAGGGACATAAAAGAGTTATCAGGCAATCAGAATCAGTTGTCTGCACAAATGACTACCTAAATCTCTGTAATAACACTTCACTGGAGAGTTTAGCGAGGCTCATTTCTGCCAGACTGCACCAGAGAAGCAAGAGGAAGCAAAACATTTTATTTAATGACTGCCACATTTAAGGTTAGAATGAGACAGAGGCAGCACACATGAAACTGAAAGGCTGTTTTAAGACACAGCTTCAAAGGTGGCAAAAAACAAAACAAAAAAAAAAACAATTGTATTTCAAGAAAAATATTCCAGCAAATGTACAGCAGTTGTTCTAATGGGTCTTTAATTATTGACTGAATGGACATCAAACAATTTTTGCTTAGTGTAATAAACAAAATGGTAAAAAAAAAGTGCTGTCTTAGTCCTGACTCTGCAATTATTAAAATATCAATAAACATTAATAGTAAATTTAAAAAATGCTGTTTTTAATAAAAAAAACAGACACTGATTTATTGATTTTACCATGACTTTGGATGCCAATAAAAACATAGACAGTAAAACTAAAACAAAGCTGAGAAAATGCCCTAGAAGCATATTAATGAAAATGTACCAATCACAAAAATATCTATCTTTGATGCGCTGACATGAGTGGGATTAAATCAATAACAGAGAAGCTATTTTTAGCAGTCTTTTTCCAATTTGATACTGATGAATAGCATTTCAAAGCGCCTAATACATGGTAAGCAAAAAGAAATGAAGCACTTACTTTTGTAAGTGTGGCCTGATGAATATAACAGACAGGTGGGCAAGCGGATGAAACAAATGGATGATTGAAATTAAAAAATGAACTGAGGAGGAGATGATCAGCATGCAGACAACAGTGAATCATGGCCAACAGTGAAAATCAAAAAGCACATTCAATGTAAAGCCAACAGGGTGAAGCAGTTTCACTTCCAAAAACATGCAGCCAACAGAGGGGGCTAAACACTAAATTATGGGTTTAAGATTCACTACAGGGCTGCTATTTAAAGACCTAAGGAATAACACTGATTCATATTCTAATTCATAGTTTGAAGCATATAATGAGCCTAACACAATATAGCAAATCTGTGAATTCTAAATAACTATGCAATCACATCCAAGTGCGACCTGTGTGATGAAATCAGAGTGCAATTTAATGTGTGAAATAGCAGCATGGTGCTAAATAAGTGGGACTTGATGACAAACATGTTTCCTGAATTCTTAGATTTCAGGGTCCCTCCATGGAAAACCTAAATAAACAAAACAATGTCAGTGAGTTACTTCCTGTTGTCAGTTTTACTCCTGAACAAACAAACAGAAAACTTGGAGGAGGCCAGACTTCAACTGAAAAGAAGACACTGTTGGAAGCTTTTGTGACACTGTCTAAAAAGCCTCAGTGCTGACTTGTGTGTTGCTGTGCAGCAGCTGACTACACTTCGGTGACTTTTTTAAGCTCACTAATGGGATGGACAAGCACTTCATACTCCTAGACATAGAAGAGAAGACTTCAGATAATATGTTTGTAGAGACAGGGGTCAAAAAGGTGTGATAAAAGCTCTATAGCGTGCAACGTGTGCCACTTACGGACAGGCTCCGTCTTGAAGAACTCAGCGGGGCTGCTTTCACCTTCACCCTTGCCGTTGATGGCTGACAACTTCACTTCGTAGCTGGTATCTGGCTTCAGGCCTGTGATGGTCGCCTCACTGGTGTAGCCTGTTACAATATATCAGAGGCAGTGCAATCCCTGTTGAGAACACCTTGATAATTTTGATTAGCGGTGAAACAAACACAACCCCAGTTCAAACAATACATGCATAATTAATTCCGTCGCGAGTAAACACTGATTAGCTCAATTCTCGTTTCATTCCGACAATGTTTAAACAGATAAATCTATTTAGAGATGGTCTAAAAGGTCTAAACCCAGAGACACACAGACACAGAAATAACTGACAGCTGTTTCAAAGCCGTCATCATCATTTATAGATTACTTTCGGGATTTGGATTACTTTCTATATATCATTAATCATGCCTATTCAAGGTTTAAATAACATTGCTATTATTTACTCAATTAGTCATGTATTGCTTTAGCTTATCTCACAATTTTCATTTAGTTTTTCTACTGTCATGTAACACTACATAATAAAAGTGCTACATGGAAACATTTAATTTCATTCAGGGTATCTGCAAACTTTTAGAAATTAAATGTAATGTTGACCTCAACAAAGGAATATCATTTCTACAGCAGTGTGAATGCACATTAGCTCTGACTGATATATTTCAAATCAATCACAATATTGATATGGTTATTTTTTAAAGGAGCAGTCAGTAGGATTTAGTGTCATCTAGTGGTGAGAACTGCAGATTGCAATGAGCTGAAAGTTTACCCATGTGCAAAGCATGAGCTTCCACTTAGGATTCCTTCAGTGTTCATTGTTCTGGAGGTTTTTACTGGAAGCTGAATTATCCTCTGAGGTCTCCTCCTCTCGAGAATAAACAGACCAGGGATTTAAACCGGTAAAATCACTGAATAAAGCAGTTTAGCTTTAAAAAACATATGTTTTTGTGACACTGCTCGTCACAGAGGGGCTAACATGATTGAACCTATCTAGAACCAGTGTTTGGTTTGTCCGTTCTAGGCTACTGTAGAAACATAACAGTGCAACATGGCGGACTCCATGGACAAGAACCTGCTCCTTTTGTAGGTATAAAAGGCTCATTCTGAGCTAACAAAAACACAACAATTCATAGTTTCAGGTGATTATACACTAAAGAAAATATTCTGCCAATCCATCCATCTCTTGAGGGTTGCGGGGGGGCTGGAGCCTATCCCAACTGACACTGGGAGGCAGGGTACACCCTGGACAGGTCGCCAGACTATTGCAGGGCTGACACATAGAGACAGACAACCATTCACACTCACATTCACACCTACGGACAATTTAGAGTCACCAATTAACCTATCCCCAATCTGCATGTCGTTGGACTGTGGGAGGAAGCCAGAGTACCCGGAGGAAACCCGCGCTGACATGGGGAAACTATGCAAACTCCGCACAGAGGAGGCTCCCACAACCGGGATCGAACCAGGAACCCTCTTGCGGTGAGGCGACAGTGCTAACCACCACACCACCGTGCCGCCGCCAATATAACCCCTAAATCCCACACACTGGACCTTTAAATATCAGCATGCATCCTCATGTATTTTTTTTCTTGTCTTCTCTCACCATCTTGGACGTCATAGACTCGGTGCACCCAGCCGCCCCTGCCCTGAGCCCTCCACTCTGCTCTGTATTTCAAGACAGGAACACCTCCGGTGGATTCTGGCTCCTCGAACTGAATCTGTGCCGTGGTGGAGAAGGGTCTCACCTCACTGATGGATGGAGCTGATGGCACCTCTGGTAAAGGAAGGAAATGCAGTGTGATTGCAACAAAAAAATGTAAGATTGCAGCACGCCAACGCTGTCAGACTCCACTGTTCCATTACACTAACAGACTGAGCTCACAGCTCCTAACAATCCAAAATGCATCTAAAAACTGCTCCGGCTTTGTAAAGAAATGTATGATTTGTGACATCAATGCTGTTCTCAGGCACCAAATGCTGCACACTGCATACAGAAAATACAAATAAAGGAAGGGAAAACACTAAAATGCTGCTACGACAAACAGATTCAAGTACAAGCTGATCTCAAGTCAGCCTTTAATGATGATAACAGCACGAAGACAACCACAGAAAAAAAGTGAGCTGTTTGTTGGACCTTTTAAAAAAGCTGAAGCTTTGAGAGATTTTGATTATGATAAACCTTTGAGCTGGAAAAGGAAAGACTTAAGATGCATTTAACACCTTACAGTCAGCAAAGCACAACGTAATGTTTCTATATAACGTAAACACCCCAAAAACTGTAAACAGCTGTATGGGAGGAGATGCCTTTTCTGATTACTATGCACCAATAAATTTTAGATTTGTAGAGAAAATGTCTGACCTGTACTATACATACTTGACAATTAAATCCTCATTTACATTAGACAAGTTTCATGATCTAAACAAGCACGTTTTGTTTCACCCATCACTGCACTCTCTATCTGAGAGAGAACGACAATAGCTTAACTGTTTAAATGACTGAGATTGGCCATATCAGAGCACTGGTGGCTGTCCTGAATCCACACACTCACGGTGTGAGCACAGATCTGTAGTGAATTGCTTTGATCTTCGAAATGAAAAGGCACACTGTGATTACTGTGGGTTACCCATGTTCTGCTCCAAGGGAAGAATGTGGTGTTTTCAATTCATTTGCTTCAGTATTGTGGCTTAAGAGAGCCATTATCGCTCTGCTCTCTGTTCCATGTGTCTAATGTGTTGGTGAATACACAGTCTTTGGTCTTTGTCAGCTGGTGGTATGTTGATGTTACAATAAAAGTGTTGTAACTTTGATAAATTGTCTTTTAATTCATAGCACACACACTAAACTCTTGGATATATTCTGTTTTGCCTTTCTTTTAACACTAAGTGAAATCCTCAGAGCCACTGTAGTTTCTAAACAACCAGAGGGAAGGAGTGTTAAATTATCCAGTGTTGGTTACATCGCCTTTTCATCTAAATCTATCATCCATCTAAACAAACACGGCTCTGTGTAATCTTACGCTGTGGTAGATGTTTTGGTCTAATGTGTTTTGAATATGGGTGAAAAATCTGTTCCTGAAGCCTTAAGCCAGGAAAAGCCTTGTAATTTAATTTATGTGCTACAATGAAATTTACCTTAACTGCTGAATATTTATGCGTCATAAATTCGAAACAACGAAATGAATCGCAGAGTCACAACTGACCAGCCGGAATGAGCAGGAACTCCTTGGCCTCGGTGCCCATCTCATTTGAAGCAGTGCAGTTATAGCTCCCAAAGTCATTTTCAGACTCGGGGGTTATCTGGAAGAGAAAAAAAAAAAGAGGCAAATATATGAAGGGCAGTGTACCAAAACAGATGAACAAACTTGTGTGTCAAACACTCTGAAGGTGACCTTTTTGTTTGTCCATTAGAGTAGCCTATTTTTATTTGTTGCTGTGAGCTTTCCTGCTGCTGAATTATTCATCGGATTTTTTTTTTCACCCACAATGGAGCTGAAAGAAAACCCCTTCACTTCCAGTCTATGCTCATAAAATCTTGATGACACAAAGGGTGTGTGTGTGTGTGTGTGTGTGTGTGTGTGTGTGTGTGTGTGTGTGCACATGGAGGGATGTGTATATGTGTACATTTACTTTATGAACTGTAAATTGAGGTTTGTGTGTGTGTACCTGCAGGTAGCTGGCTGATGGACTCCGGAAGATCTTGATGTTGGTAGTGTTTGAGTTGGGGAGCTGCAGTCCATCTCTCAGCCATATAATAGATACATCACTGGGATGAGCCATGACCTCACAGCTGATATTAACAGCATTTCCCTCCCATGTGTACACTGCCACTGCACCGTGGATCTTAGGGGCATCTAGTCAAAGAAATGCATGTTAAACATTTTAGTTTTTTTGTGGTTTTAACCAAGCGGCAACCTGCAGGGCAAAAAACTGCAGTTCCTTGAATGGCCACTTGAGGCTGGCTCTGTGTCAACACCCCAATACCCATGCTAAAATGCCCGGATTAACAGATTGTGATGGAAGAACCACAAACCAGTGACGTCACTGCAACCATGTCCATCATTTTGTACAGTTTATGGTTTTAACAGTGCCTGAACAATGTGCAGTTTAAATAAATGTGGATTCAAAAACCCTTATGTGATCAGGAAATGCCTTTTTTGTTCCATTAAAAAGGATGGATGACTAGCAAGTTGCTTTTACTATGGTGTACTCATTTTGTAGGCCAAAACACTTATATTAAGAGAAGAGGAAATACTTACAGCGAACCTCCAGATATGCCAGCTTATCATCCTCTCCAATGGCGCTGCGTGCCGTACAGAGGTACTGACCCGCGTCTGTATACTTGACATACTTCAGAGTGAGGGAGGACACACGAGCATCACTCCTCACCACTACATTTCCATCCAGACTCTAAATGGGAGCAGAAAATAGCTTGGTTTAGGAAAAAAAACAAACCAATCACATCAGTTATGTTCCATTGCCATTTTGCACGTCTATATCTACAGAGCACATTTCTGTCAAAAGATGTGTGACCTGGAAAAAAAAAAAGCTTCAGAATGCCTGCCTTAAATGAGCAGAGGAGACATTATGTTAATGAAAAAGGCACTGTGCTCTGTAAAGACGTGGAAACATAAGGACACAGTTGACAGAACAGGGGGAGCTTATCAATAATAGATGACAGAAGGCACTAGAAACCATCAAGAGCTTTTCTCACGTAGGGCTTACCAACTCGTGAAATATGCTGATGCATGAGACAGCAGAGCATTACCGTACATGCCACACTTGCACTTTTATGTTGAGTTCATTTGGGGCTTAGTGTCACTGCACACAATCAGACTTTTTTTTTTTTTTTTTGGTAAAATAACAGTTTAAGTTAATCACTTGTGGTTTTTTGCATGTTGTTCGTTGCAATGCTCTCTGAACCCACATCCAGCACATGCCCCAGTTTCAGTAATGAAGGGCACATGCCAAGTCACATAACATTTGAAACCGGGGGAATAACAACAGACAGCTGGCTAATGAGATGTGTAAATGACCTTCCTGCTTGAGAGATACCTGGTTTCATTAACTTGATATGCAGAGTTACAACATCCAACCATAAGTGGCTTCCTGACCTTCAGGGTCAACAACTCTGTGTTGTTGTGGCGGCTGATGTCATGTGACACTAAACTGTGGGTGTGCAGTTTCAGACAGACCAAATTTCTGCTTTTGAAGGACCATTTTCCCAAATGGGATGTTACTAATTAAAACATGTATTATGCAGATCCTAAGCCTTAGTTTCCTTAACTAAAAGGTGCTGTATATGACATTCAGAACATCAATACAGCTAAAAACAACTATTTTCTATGTAATGATATAGTGGAGTAATGGCTTCCTAAGCAGAGAATTAAATCGCAATCTGTCTGTGTGTGTTGTAACCCGAGCTTCTCTGTTCTTTGTTATGGTAGACGGTCCAGCAGCGAGTGCAAGTTAGTGCATGTGAGTCCCTGTATGTGTATCCCTTTGGCTAGCTAATTACTGGCCCTGTGCAATGCTCTCACACGACAGTTATGCTAGGTTACTGCTGATAACGCCATCCTAACTCACAGTGGCAGAGCGGTGTTGTCACAGAGGCATGATGTCCAACCTGTGGTTTGCCCCCTGTTAACAGTGTGTCAGCACTACTGCCGCTGTCAATCCTGTTTGCCCTGTTAGCACTGATAGCTGCTGGGACCCCCTATAAACAGAGAGTTTTGCAGGGCATAGTAGTGCACACTTTGGCGAGCTCCGAGAGCTGCTGGGAGAAGTTTGCCTGGAGGGCTTTCTTTTAGAATCTGATTTCTTGTATTAAGGTTATGAAAAAATAAAGGGGTTCAAATAAATAGACAGGGCTATCTGGCAAAAACCCACTATCCAAACTTCTCCCCTGTGCACCCCTAACTGTTTCAATCCTGCTCAGCCAGTGCTCTGAGTACATGATCGTAAGTTTCCCAAGATGGGGGGTGACTTCAGTTAGTTTTGAACAAGTGAGCTGGGCATCTATTTATGCAATATACTACATTGATATCTGAATACAGAGCCCTAGTCTGAGAAGAATTTTGTTGTTGGACATAATTTAGTCCATTTTAATGTCAATAAATTTAAGCATTGTTTAGTTGTATATATTTTTCAGCAGTCAGGTAAAAATCATTTGAAAGTCTGTAGGGAAGTCTAGTCTCTGCCACAGCCATGTTGGCAGTACAAGGAGCAAAAATCTAAGTATATCTTTTAAATCGATGATCACAAAAAGTTACGTTAGGTGTGAGGTCCCCTGTGGGTTTAAAGATTAGGCAATAAACAACTCTTTTAGGTTACGGTCTTGCTAGTTTATCCAAAAAGCGATGAGATGACCCAATGTGAGCCAACAAGATCACGCACCAGGCACACATTCTGTGTGACGCAGAGCACAAGGAACCACCCCCTAGCAAAACCCTGGGATTTTAGGGAGTCATGTAAGCTGCTAACCACCAGCTTAGCCACCTCCATGTCGAGAGCCGTGTACAGGCAATCCTGGTTCAGACTCTGAATAATAGATATGCTCTGAATGTTGCATACAGCTCCTTTAACTGTACACTAATGCTGCTAATGGCGAAGCAAATGTTAACTTTCTTCTGGATGATTTTCCTCTGTACACAGCAGATCTCAAAGTTAATACGTCTCCTGTTTATTTTATGGATTTGGGACATGGACGTGTTTTTATATATTATATATAGTTATAGTTTTTGTGAATTGTTCCCTTTCCAAGGTGCTGCAGAACTGAATATCTAAGCCTCTTTAATGGTCGCTTTCATGGCTTTGATCCAAGCTGCAGGCAAAACAATGGCACGGATGCTTTTACACATATTGAATTAGGGCCCAGTCTGGGCAGCCATGTAAGAGAAACCCTCGTTAGTTTTGTATTCAAATTCAATAGACAAAGCATGTCTGGGGCATTCATTATGCATAGCGGGTAGCAGGACCAGGGAGACACTTACATAACACACTACCCTTTTATTCTGACCCCTGTGCAGAAAGCATTCTGCCTCGACCCCTGTGGCACTGCTGCTGACTCCTGCATCTGTGCAACATGCCACACTATGTACCACCATTAAGGCCCAGTTAGTCAGTATGCTTCAGTATTGAGTCCTTTTTAATTGTGTGCTCCTACATTTTGGCAAACGCAGCATCAAAATGTCACCAAAGCCAGAACATATGGACGGTTTCTCTACAGCCTGTCATTCCCCATATGAAGTCCATAACGAATATCATCTGCTGGAGGAAAATGGTGTCTTCACTGCAATTTAATGCTGTGATTCATAAATGTTTCATAACAATGGATTTTCAGTATGAATGCCAATGTGCCAGAGCGGTTGTCTATCCGTAACATCCGTATTTAACATCCATTATTTGTTGACTCTCCTGCCTTTAAGAAAGTGATACAAACCACTTTACATGTCTACGGGAAAACCTGCTATGAAACAGATGGGGGAAGAGAATAAAGACTTTGAGACAGAAGCTCCTCTAATAAATCAGACCGAGCTGACAGCGGAGCTCTCCAACAGCCTCTGCAGCTTCACCAGCAGAGGAGAGAGACACTGCTGGAACATCAGAGCATAAAATTGAGAATGCACTGAGGACATGTTAAACTCATGTCTCACCAAATCTTAACTGGTCCAGCATACAAATGCACCTTCCCCCTGAATGTACCTTCCCTTCCGCGGCTTGTCAAATGAACACTCAGCTGCCTACACACTTGCAACAAACATGCTCAGCATACTCATACTGCTCCCTGCTCATTCTCCTCCCTGTGTGGTTTCTAATGGGATATCTTTCCGAGACACACTGATCGCATCACAGTGCAGGTAGACTTAACCCTGTATCAGTATGTCAGCAATTGAAAATGATTATTGCCTGATCGTTAACGTAAACTAATGCACTCACAACCTGAAACCACAGATGTGCTGCAAATGTGCGTCTGAGATATAATTTGTGAGACAGCAGTTAACTGAAGTATGGTTGACAAAATAATAACATGGCATAAGTCTGTTTTTAAAGCCCTGTCTTCTCTTGTTTAAAGAAAAAGTGGCAACATGCTTTGGATTATATTTATCCTTCTTGGAAAACTGGGAAGCTTAGGTAACTTGGATTCTCTGTTTCATGTTTTATTTTGTACAGCTGATCACTAATCCAAATGTTCAAAATAATGCATTTTAACCCTTCTCTGTGGGAAAAACAACACTGCTGATGCACAAAAATGCCTCGCAGCCATGTGTACATCACAGTTTTACACAAACCTAGTAATTAGTGTCAACATGTGCTCGTCGAGAAACACTCTTCCTCACAATCTGCTCTGAGTAGTGTGATACGTTTTATTCATAACAAATTTTTTGTAATAACAGACAGGTGCTTTAAATGAAGGCATGCCGAAATGTCAATATCTGCTTATTGTTTGAAACAGGAAATGAGAAAAAAAAAAAAAAAAAAAAGACCAATTCTTGATGTGCAGAGCTCCCTGCAATTTGAAAATAAAATAGCGAGGCTATTTGAGGAACCGAAGGGTCTAAAAATATGCATTCATTTCCTGTCAAATGGTAAGAAATTATAAATAACAATGGCAAGCCTAATATTTGATCTTGCACCTGAAACAGTGATGGGCTGATCAGTGACATCACACTTCGTGAGAGCAGAAACCTCTGTTCATTTGTAAGCCCAAAAAGATGAATCTGTACTCTCTAGCAGGGTGCACTCAGCACTAATATTGGATATGACACAGTTGTATTTCTCACCAGTGTTCCCACATATGTAAAACACATATTTGGTAGTTTAGTAAGTTGGAGGAAAGCTCAAGAAGGCAGCTCTTTCTTTTGCCAATTTTCACTTTTTATCAGGAACAGTCCCTGGCTCTGACACGCTGGGCTGCTGCACAAAGACATCTTTCATTTTCTCTTGCATACATCTTCATTCATCTTTGGTCCAGCAAATTAGAACTATAATAAACCATTTTCTGATGTCAAAAATACATCTTGATATAATCAAGAATTGGCAGCGGATCAAGTGAGATCTGGAGATGTGGGTGGGAGGATGGAGAGATCTAAGGAGAGTTTTACCTCGACAGAAACCTCTTCCAAGAGAAAACAGGTTGAAACTGCATGTAACAGAATCATGCATCTAATCTATGGATTATTAACAAAAATCTTGTCTTGCATTTACTTATGTTCTGCAGACTAGGTTAAAGGTCTTAAAGGAAAGAAATACAGGCTGAAGTACTGCATGTTAAGTTTATATGGGAACCAAACAAGTGAAACAAAGAGATATAGATGGACAGGCCTGTTTGGCTTCTGCATCTTTCTCAGGGTCTATACTCTCCCTGACCCTCATTTGATCGGGAATTTTGATATGCGTCCATCCAGAAT